TATTTTTAAATTCCTGAAGCTTAGGGTTACTGGCAAGGTCGTTCCTACTATCCTCGTTATTATCCTCGTTATTATCCACGTTTCTACCCTTTTCCTGTGCACTTTCCATACTATCATTATCGCTATCACTCGGTTGGTTTTTATGGTAGCTTGATTTTCGTGTCTGAGCAAGTAGCTGGCCAAAATTAGGCCAAATCGTGTTCCCTGTGCTGGGATTTAACATGTTTTCTAGGTTTCGAGAGTCAAGAACGACTAGAAATAGCTAGTAGAAAGTAAAAGATCATGGATTTCCTTAGATTTTATTGTCTAAAGTTGGCTCGTTTTGTTTTTGGTGTCAAGAAACAAGCAAAACTTATCAAGGCTTAGAAAAATGCTTAAATTCTACAGGAGCTATTTCTATTTCTATTTTGTTTAGGGCTACGCGGACTCATCGAACGCCAATCCAAACGGGTTTGTGCCTTCTTTCCTTCTCTCATCTTTTTTCACTCTCCATTACCGTAAAGCTTTCTCATCTAAAAAGCTATCGTAATCGGGTATAGCTTTAGGGTATAGCTTTAGAGCATAGCTTTAGAGGATAGCTTTAGAGTATAGCTTTAGAGCATAGCTTTAGAGGATAGCTTTAGAGTATAGCTTTAGGGTATAGCTTTAACTCGTGCCTATGCTACCGTAATCTTTTCCTCTTTTCAGTTTGTACATCGCATTGGGAATCATCGGAATCTTTCTCTTGGGTTTTGTGGTGATAATGGGTGAGTTTCGTTTACAGGATTTTGATCTGGGAGTAAAGCGTTTTTGAAAAAGTGGTTATTTGGCGAGAAAAAAAGCAGCTTTTCTATTGAATTTGTCCAATTCACTTGACTGTGATCCGTTGAGATGCTATGAAACTGAGAGCTATCAACAAATGGACTCAAAATTATGTAGAAAGGACAAATCGATGAGAGAAGATTACGATAGCTTTGGCCATCTTTTAGAGCTATTGGCCATCTTTTAGAAAACGCTTTACTCGTGAGAAATATTCTCTATATTGAGCCTAACTTAAGTAACTTAAGATTGAGCCTTTTTCTCTATTGTATTTCCTCTTCTCTGGCAAGAAGACCGGATAGTTCAGTGGATAGAGCATCTGCGCGGAAAGGAAAAAGATCAAGAGTTCAATCCCTTCCCCGGAAATCTTTCGTTACTATTTCTTACTTTACTTTACTTTATGAAGTTTCTTTAAGTTTCTTCTTTTAGTGATTTACTTTTTCGGAGCGTGTATGCGAAGCCGAAAACGGAGTGAGCCCGGTGACGATTTGAGTCAAGTAAAACTTTTCAAACATTATAAATAACTACAGTAATCCTTGATATTAAGGATATAGTAACCCTTAAGCATTAGAACTATAGTAACCGTTAGACATTGTGAACTACAGTAATACCCAGATCTTGAGAACTACAGTAGCCATTGTTTGGGGCTACAGTAATCAGGAGTTAGACTGAGAACTACAGTAAGCTTTAGATATTACGAACTGCGAACAGTAACCCTTGGATTTTAGGGTTACAGTACTCCTTAACTATCGAGGAGTACGACACTAACTACAGTAACCTTTCTAATTCTTACATTTCTCTTTTCCAGCCTCACCCACTTTCCACCGCACCTTCACCACTCGGCACACCAAATTACGAGCTTCAAGTTGAGATTTTGAATTTTATTGTTTAAAAAAATGATTTAGGCACCAATCTATGGCCCTAGTTACGGTCCACACATCGTCTTATAAGGAAAACAAATCTCTTTGTATTTTACTCTTGAATAAATCGTTTTGAATCAAGTCAGTTCAATGGCAGACCGGTTAGAAGTCTTGTCTCTTAAGCGGAAGGTCGACGGTTCAATTACGCTGGCAAGATTAAAGAGTGTTTCTTTTTCCCACCGAGTGGGGTTTTTTCTTTTATAACATTTAGGGTAATAGGGATAATAGAGATAACGACCCGCAGTGACATAAAACCTTTAGGCCTTTGGGTTTAGACCTTTATCTCTTATTTATGTAGCCTTTGTTTGTAATACATTATTGGTTTTCAATCAATGTTTTTTTTTAAATCTATGACCCCGTTTACGGTCCACACATCGTCTTATAAGGAAAACAAATCTCTTTGCATTTTACTCTTGAATAAATCGTTTTGAATAAAGTCAGTTCAATGGCAGACCGGTTAGAAGTCTTGTCTCTTAAGCGGAAGGTCGACGGTTCAATTACGCTGGCAAGATTAAAGAGTGTTTCTTTTTCCCACCGAGTGGGTTTTTCTTTCTTTCACAACATTTAGGGTAATTGGGGTAATAGAGGTGCCATAAAATCCCCGCAGCGCCATAAAATTGTGTGTTTAAACCTTTGTCTCTTATTTATGTATCTTTTGTTTGTTATGATTGGTTTTCAATCAATGTTTTTTTAAAACCTATAACCCCGGTTACGGTACGCTAGAGGTAGATACGCTTATATAGTATTCTTTTTAAGAGTGATGATCGGGCTCATTTCAATCATCGTTTCCATCACCGTTTCTTTTGATGAGAACCTTCTTCTTCTAATACTTTGATTTGCTTTTCTTATAGTGCTTTTATCTCACCAAATAGAACTCAACAGTCGCATCAGGCTCTATTTGTGAGTCTATTATAGTCCATTATAGTCCATTATAGCCTATTATAGCCAGTCGAATCAGCCTCCATTTGTGAGTATTCAAACCACGATTCAAAAGGCATTCACTCATTTGGTAGAATATCTTTAACGACTATTTTAATCAACTATTGAACTTTCTTTTATAAGACTAAAGTTTACTTTTAGCTTTAAACAATCACTTTTTCGCATCAGTTTTTGATAAAAATTTATTCACTCTAAAGAATAACAACCATTTTTATGAAATCGACACATTTTTTTGCTGAAAACTCGTCTAAAAATGTAAAAAAAAGATGAGAAATGAGGGAAAAAAAAGACGAAGGCAAAACAGACCCCTGAAGAGGAAGAATTTATGACCAGAAATAGAGGAAAATGACAAAAATAAACAAACTGACCGCTTGATTTTGGAAATTGACTAGAGGTTTGGGGGAAAAGCTTTTGATTTTCAAGTTTAAGAAGTTAAAGGGAGACTAGGAGAAGATAGCATTGATAGATTAGTTTAGAGTAGTAGACTAGTAGACTAATAGACTAGTAGACTAATAGACTAATAGACTAGTAGACTAGTAGACTAATAGACTAGTAGTCTAATAGACTAATAGACTAATAGATTAATAGACTAGTAGACTAATAGACTAATAGACTAGTAGACTAATAGACTAGTAGACTAGTAGACTAGTAGACTAATAGACTAATAGACTAATAGATTAATAGACTAGTAGACTAGTAGACTAATAGACTAGTAGACTAGTAGACTAATAGACTAATAGACTAGTAGACTAATAGACTAGAAGACTAATAGACTAGTAGACTAATAGATTTGTAGATTAATAGCTTTGTAGTTTAATAGAATTGTTGATTAATAGATTAATTTAGTCTAATAATATTAATTTAATAGATTAGTTGCAATAACAAAAACAAAAAACAAGATGTGATCAGGAACAGGCAAGAGTTTACTGTAACGGTAGATTTGAAGAGAGATTGTAAAGTCCAAACAAATTTCTGTGCATGATTAAATGAATTTTAATGGACTGAAATGGTTTAAGTTTGAAACTTAACTTTTTTAACTTAACTTTTCAATGGCTAAGACATGGAGCATCTCGTTTTCTAAAGCTTTCCGCCTTTTCTACCGTAATCTTGTCTCCAACTTTTGTCTGATTTTGTCTGATTTTGTAAGGATTTAGAAAGGATATCGAAATATAGAAAAAAGTGGATTGATTGGTTTGAAAAATATAGAAAAATAGAGACAAGATTACGGTAGAAAGAGAAAGGAAATAAGCTTTCGAAAATCGGGTTTATTTAAGAGAAAAACTACAGTATTCAAGCCGACAAATTGGTACCTTTAAATTCTTTAATCAAAACTAAACCTATTCAACTGAATTCTTTCAATTCCGGGTATAGAGCTGAATTGAAAGGAAAAATTGAAAGGAAAAATTGAAAAAGACACAGAAAGCGGAGAGATTTTACCGTACTTTTTTTCTGGAGTCACTTCTGGTGGAATCACTTATTTGGGTTTGCGAAAAAAAAGGTATCACTATCACTGGTGGTATCAATGGTGGTATCAATGGTGGTATCACTGGTGGTATCCACTGGTGGTATCAATGGTGGTATCAATGGTGGTATCACTGGAGGTATCACTGGTGGTATCAATGGTGGTATCACTGATGGTATCACTGGTGGTATCACTTATTGGATCACTTAAAAAGGCCATTGATTTGAGGGATAAAAAAGCTTTTAGAGTTGGATAGATTTTGGGGTTTAAAATCAAAACTTTTTAAAACTGAAATTGTTGGATTTTTGGATTCTCGATCACTTGTTGAATCTTGGATTTTTTTTTGATTTGGACTTTACACTATCTCTTTAACAATATTTACAAAATAGAAATCTAATTTAAAAGCTAATTTGCGTCGCTAATTTGCTAATTAAAATGCGTCGTTTCGACAAAAGAAGGCAAGCTGAGAAAATGAAAAAGTTTCGAAGAAAAAAAAAAAAATTGGCAAGAAGTTTGAGTAAAAAAATTTGAAAAATTGAAAAAAATTAGATTTAAATTTGCCGAAAAGAATCGAAATGCTTTAAAATCGAAAGCTCAAAGGAAACCAAAAAAAATCGTTAAAAAGCCCTATCACAGAAAAAGAAAACACAAGCTAAAGTTCAAAAATGGGAAACCCGTTGTGCAAAAGTTGAAAAACCACAGAAAGTCGAGAAATTTTACCGTACTTTTTTTCTGGGGTAAATATCACTTATTTGGGATTAAAAAATGCGCAAAAAGGCCATTGATTTGAGGGATAAAAAAGCTTTTAGCGTTGGATAGGTTTTGAGGTTTAAAATCAAAACTTTTAAACTGAATTTGATGGATTTTTGGATTCTCGATCAATTGTTGAACACGGGAAAATCGATGATTCGCCACTTCTCGATCACCTAAAGAAATTGAAATTGAAATTGAAATTGGAATTGGAATTGGAATTGGAGAATTTCGGAGAACTACCGTACTCAATGGAACGTTTCTTTTCAATAGATCAAGATCAATAGATCAAGATCAATGGATCAAGATCAATAGATCAAGATCAATGGAAGAAGATCAATGGATCAAGATCAATAGATCAATAGAGCAAGGCCAATTCATAGCCTTGTTCAGGCTCAGGCTTAGCCGATCAATAGCTTTGCCATTGGTTGGCTTAAGTGAAGAATATTGAATCAGGACGAATCAGAAGTCAGAAAACGAAAAAGAAACGTCAACGAATCAGAAAACTATTTTTTTCAAGCTCAAATCCTCAATAAACATGATTAATCTGTAACCATGAATCCGAATATGTCATAACTCATTTAATTCGACTCATTTACGAACTCAATTACGGTAAATATTCTAATAGAAGAGCCTCGTATAGGAGTCTAAGTTTAGTCTAAATTGACTCTCAAACAAACGCTCATATCTCGACATCAGTCAATTTCTTGCTGCGCGCTTATATATCAAATTAAAGTCGAGAGGATAGGGGATTTTTTTTAGCTATTACACGCATTTTTAGCTTTAACTAACGTTTAGAAAAAATGATTGAAAAATGATGAAAAATCGGTTTTTTTTTGCCGATTTTCAATCATTTTTTTTCTAAGCACTGGTTAATGCAAAAAAAGACGTTTTACATCTCAAAAAAACACCCATTCTCTCTACTTTAATTTGATATCTAAGCGTGCAGAAACAGACGTATTAGTGCTGAGTTATGAGCGATTCTTTTAGTGTAAACTTTGAGGGACGCTCTTAAAGGAGCTCTTCTATTCGAATATTTACGGTATCTCAAAGTTAGTGTTGAATAGAAACGGGATTACGTTAGAAAATACGAAAAGTAACTATATCTTCAGTGTATTTTCTAATTTCTAAACAAGTTCAAGTGTTTTCAAATTTTTGAAAAAAATGATGTTTCAACTTGAGCGGCTGTGTTTTAAAGAAACGAAAATAATTCTAAAAACGGCGTACATAGTTCTTATTCGTAATTTCTTTTAGTTTTCTAAGGAAATTGCTGATATTTAGTTAATTTTACTTTCTTTGGGGCTCTCTTGAATCAAAATTGAATTTTGCAAACTTTTGAAAAAAAAGATGTTTCAAAGTTTCTCAGATGTCAAATCAAAAAACAAACTGAATAACTTTTGAATCCATTTTTGAAATTCAATTCTTTTTTAATGTTTCTTTTTTGCCTTTAACAAACCTTGTAACTTGGATATAATCCTTGTCTTTGCGTTCGTCGATTCTTTCCCTTACTGTAACCATCCCAATGATTCCCAGCCACTCCAACGCTGTCGCCGACTCTGGAAAAAAAAGGGTTTTTTTGAAATTTTATTGATAAAATTTAAAGCACAAATGATTTTGTTGATCAAAAATTTAAATTTAAAAAGATTTTGGTTATTTTAAGCCATTCAAGTCATTTGAAAAAGTCGAGTTTCAATAAAACTGGGATTAGTGATTGAAAAGAGAAGTTTACTAACTTCTCTAACTAGTTTACTAACTAACAAAGTTCGGTACACAGGTGCCTTTCTTATATACTAATTGCTAGCATCGTCGGCGCAGTCAGGAGCGCCCACACGGCCCTCACGGCCCACACAACCCGGGTTCAACCTCCTGTAGTATCACTCAATTCTGATTTTTCAGTTTCTTATTCAAATGGCATAACTAGATTATATTTTTAGATAGAATAGAAAATTATAGAAAATTTCAGCTTCTTTTTGACCCAAAGACGGCTGAGAAAAAGCCCGTACAGGCAGACAAGTAGACAAGCAGACAAGCAAACAAGCAGACAAGCAGACAAGCAGACATTGCTCTTTTACGTGATATAATATTGTATAGAAAACTCTGCAATATTATTAGCCATTACAGTAAGATCAGACTGAAGAGAGGTTGAAAAAATAGTAGTGCGCACTACTATTACAGAAAATATGGTAGTAGATCTTACTGTAATGGCTAATAGCATTACAGAGTTTTCTATACAATATTATAACACAACGTATCACTCACTTCAACTCGATCTCGTTGTCCCGCTCAGGCACATGATCCTCGATGACGATTTGCTGGTGATCTAAAGAAAAATGATGTAAAGAATTTGAGTAAAGATCAGGAATTGTTGCAATATATATGTCGTAGCCGATTACGAATTTCAGCCGATTATGAATGAGCGGGTCCGGACGCGTCCAACCATCAAGTATTTAGTATCATTCAACGCAGAATCATTGATAATTATGTTAAATTTTTTAAATTAGCAAGATTGGATAAAAAGAAAAAAAATTATGGGGCTTCAAAGTTTTCTCTTGAACAAACAGTTTTTTTGCTCTAATTTTTTTTCTTTTCATCAAATCTTGCTAATTTTAAAAATTTAGCATAATTATTAATGATTCTACGTTGAATGATACTAAATACTTGATGGTTGGACGCTCCTAGACCCACTCATTCATAATCGGCTACGGGGGTCCCGCCGATTTTGAATGAAACGTTGTAGTGCCGGCAATTTTTAACCTAAACTCACAAATTTGGTACCAATCGACGCAGAATTCAAATCGCTACAAGATGATATAATATTGTCCTCATACATTAATGGGTTGCTCTACTAGAAAGATTTGCCAAAAAATTTCATTCATAATCGGCTACGACATATAAAACCTTTCGTATTTCACATCAAACTGCTAGAGTTTTGAGCACTCTACATTAGACTTTTAACGAAAATTTCTAACAGTTCTTTTTTGCCGTTGACAATTTAAGGTTTTTCGGGTTTTTCTTTGCACAAATCCTTCGATTTTCACTATTTTATTTTTCATTTGATGCGGAACAAAATTTCGCATCGAATGATATCAAAATTAACTCAAAAACTAATATCCATGCAAAGTTATGAGGCAAAAGTTCAATCCCGCCCATAATAAGCGGGGTTTCGGTTTTTAGCCGATAACTTTGCGTGGATATTATTATTTTAAGTTGATTTTGGTATCATTTGACGCGCAATTTTATTCTGTATCAAATGATAGTCAAAATTAAAGTCAAAATCAAAATCGAAGGGTTTATGCTGAGAAAAAACATTTGTCAACGGCAAAAATTGTCTAGTTGTTGAATTGTCAACGGCAAAAAAAGGATCAACAGATCAATTTGTTAAAAAGCTATTCTACATACCGTGTTGTCCACCGTAATAGTACAAATCGTCAAGCGAGTGGAAAGCTTCGCCATCAGGCCGCCTCACTTGCATCAACTCGTAGCCCATTCGGCACACCTAAAGTTCGAAATTCGGCTTTCATCAGGTAATTTTTTAAAACTTTAAAAAGTGACACGAGAACAGCTATTGATTTCTTTAGTAAAATCAACTCGTTTAAGTTTAAAGTTGGTTTTAGATGAACTTAAAAGTAAAAGGTCGATAAAAAAACCAAATGAGGATGAAAAAATCAGCTCAACAATAAAGTATTCATGCGTTATTTGAGGTAAAAATTTTTGAATTATCTTTTTACTACAGTTTTCTAGATGATCGATTATGCAACGGATCAACAAACCACTACATTGGAAGGACTTGAAAGACATTGTTATCGACAAATACATGCAAACAAAACAGGAACTATAAAGGAACTAGAAAGGAGCTAGAAAGGAACTATAGAAGAACTATGAAAGAACTAATTAGGAACTAAACAGGAACTATGAAGTAGCTAGAAAGGAGCTAGAAAGGAACTACAAAGGAACTACAAAGGAACTAAACAGGAACTATAGAGGAACTATAAAGGAACTATAGAGGAACTATAGAGGAACTATAAAGGAACTATAAAGGAACTATAGAGGAACTATAAAGGAACTAAACAGGAACTATAAAGGAACTATAGAGGAACTACAAAGGAACTAAACAGGAACTATAGAGGAACTATAAAGGAACTATAGAGGAACTACAAAGGAACTAAACAGGAACTATAGAGGAACTATAAAGGAACTATAGAGGAACTATAGAGGAACTATAAAGGAACTATAAAGGAACTATAGAGGAACTATAAAGGAACTAAAAAGGAACTATAGAGGAACTATAAAGGAACTAAACAGGAACTATAAAGGAACTATAGAGGAACTACAAAGGAACTAAACAGGAACTATAGAGGAACTATAAAGGAACTATAGAGGAACTATAGAGGAACTATAAAGGAACTATAAAGGAACTATAGAGGAACTATAAAGGAACTAAACAGGAACTATAGAGGAACTATAAAGGAACTAAACAGGAACTATAAAGGAACTATAGAGGAACTATACAGGAACTATAGAGGAACTATAAAGGAACTATAGAGGAACTATAGAGGAACTATAAAGGAACTATAAAGGAACTATAGAGGAACTATAAAGGAACTAAACAGGAACTATAAAGGAACTATAGAGGAACTATAAAGGAATTAAATAGGAACTATTGAGGAACTGAATGGGAACTATGAAGGATCCAACTAGGAACTATAAAGGAAGTAAACAAAGAAACAAATTAACGACATGACGAAATTTTAGATCAAGTTGGTTTTAGACTAAGTTTCAACTTGGATAGCTTTAATTTAACAAAGAATTCATTAATTCTGGTTACATTTGTGTCCCAAATCAACGCAAATTCAATAGTTTATCTTTAAAATATTTTTAATCTTGCCCCTGAAGCTTTTCAAGATCACTTTCTCCAACTAGTAATCCATTTTGATAACTTTATTAGATTTGGTAAGTGAGAAATGGTGATTTTTCCCCTCACCTGGCTTGAGAAAGTGCACACGAGGTAGTCGCATCGACTCAGCAATTGAATGTCCGTCACCACACCGTACATTGAGGCATCTAAAGGAAATCATCGAGATTTTAAACCACAAAAGATGGAAAAATATTAGATTTTAAGATTCTTCACGCTCATGCGAGTACATTTGTTGGTTTTAAACGAAAGTACGAAAAGAAAAGAAACGAAAAGATTTTCTGGGCAGCATAATATTCTCCAGCTCAATCTTCTCACAAACCTGAATACCGAGACATCAATTTCGCCGTGTCCGCAATGTCCACATCGCCAAAAACCTCGTAGTTTGAATATCTGAAAATTTTAGCTTTAAAACTTTAAAGTATGAGACAAATCAGTTGTCAGTTGACCAATCATGTGTCAGTTGACAAATCTCAAAGCTACCCATACTTTTGGTATCTTTAAACGCTTTGAATAGACAAGATTGAACAGACAAGAACAGACAAGACAAGACAAGATTCTTCATGAATCAAGTTTTAAGTCTATGATATGATTTAGTTTTTTTTTCCCAAAACTCACTTTTTCTTGGTCTCCGGTAAAACAGATGCGTCGTCGGAGGCGACAAAAACGCGTCTTTTCAACGGATGACCCCGTCGAAGCTCTTGCACACGGAACCAAATCTGTAAAATTTTCTTCGTACTGGTTTCATTGGTTTGGTTTTGTTTGGTTTTTGGTTTCATTGGTTGATTTCAACTTTTTGATAGTCACTTAAATCTTGTTATCTTGAATAAGTGAATCTACCAACCATCCAAAAACTTTCTAAGCATAAGATACGTTTAAAAATCGTTCACAAGGCTAATTGAAAAGCTAATTGAAAAGCTATTCGTTTCTTTTTGTACTTTCATTTAAAACCAACAAATTCACCAATTGAACAACAGTTTATTTCATTAGAAAGGCCAATTATTTTTTTTTGCAAAATAACATTAAAAAGGGTTTAAAATGTTTTATTTTTGAATTTTTTTGGGAGCACAAAGTCGGGTAGCCAAAAAGAGCGGCTCGATAACGCGTTTTAGACACTTTTAGCTAAAGAAACCTATCTCGGTGTCAATATATATGTCGTAGCCGATTATGAATGAAATTTTTTGGTAAATCTTTCTAGTAGAGCAATCCTTTAATGTATGAGGACAATATTATATCATCCTATAGCGAATTAAATTCTGCGCCGATTGATACCAAATTTGTGAGTTTAGGTTAAAAATTGCCGGCACTACAACGTTTCATTCAAAATCGGCGGGACCCCCGTAGCCGATTATGAATGAGTGGGTCTAGGAGCGTCCAACCATCAAGTATTTGGTATCATTCAACGCAGAATCATTAATAATTATGCTAAATTTTTAAAATTAGCAAGATTTGATGAAAAGAAAAAAAATTAGAGCAAAAAAACCGTTTGTTTAAGAGGAAACTTTTGAGGCTCCATAATTTTTTTTTTTTTTATCCAATCTTTCTAATTTTAAAAATTTAACATAATTATTAATGATTCTGCGTTGAATGGTATTAAATACTTGATGGTTGGACGCGTCCGGACCCGCTCATTCATAATCGGCTACGACATATAAAAGATAGAGCACAAAAAAGATTGGTATATAGCCAAATTCTCAGAGAAATTCATTCAACCAATTTCTTCGTAGAGACTTTTCTAGATCTTTACGAAAAACACGGTTTTCACTCTCGAATTTGCTTGAAAGTGAACCAAAATTGACTTAAAAGATGGAAAATTCAACAATATAAACTTTTTATTTAGAGTAAAACATAGGTTAACTGGTGAATTTGCTATTTTTCAACGAAACTACGAAAAGACTTTCTAGACAGCCTAATATGTTTCAATTTGAAGTGCTACACTTCAGTAAAGAATCCATTAGTCCATTAGAATTGCTTCAAGTCTTAGATTTGGCTTAAAAGTAAGCATATTTTCTCATTCTCACAAACCTCAGTCCATTCCATGTATTCATCGACCGAATGAAACGAGGCCTCCGTGCCAATTTTGTCCGTTCTTCTCACCTGGATCCCGACGATTGGACCTGAAAATAGTGTGTTTAACTCAAAAATAATTGTGATAGGAAAAGTCCCTAAAAACAACTAGTAATTTTCTTTATCCATTAGCCCATCCAACTTTGAAACTTTCATCTTAAAAGAGACAGCGAAAAAGAGTATGACGCCACATAAAACGGCTTCATTTCAGTAGAGAATTCGTTATTTTTTGCATGAGAAATGAAACGCGAACAATGAGCAGCCAACTGACAGTTGTGTGGACTTGAAGAAATCGGAAAAGCTCAGTCATTGTGCAATGGGTCATTCTCTGCATCTTCGCAAATAGCTTTGTTTTCTAAAGCGTAGATATTCAAGGAAGGCATTGCACGCTTTAGAAAGTAAAAGCTGTTTGCTAAAAAGTTTGCTGTTTGCTTGCTAAAAACTTGTTTGCTAAAAAGCAAAGAGTCACAAAGTCACTTAAAATGCAACGAAGTAGCCCTTTTAAAATCAGACACGGTGAAGATCAAACGCAACTTGTCGGGAAGGGCATTCCAAACTTTAATCACACGATTTACAAAGCTCTAGAGGATTTAGAGAAAGCAGATTCGGGATGCAAGATAAAAGAGCCACGCCTAGTCGCCAAAAGCCTCGAGTTTAGTCGAAAAAAGAGGGTTTTGATGTTTTCCTTTTACAATTTTAAAGCACTCAACCAAATCTATGATAAGACGGCGTTGTTCTAAGGTTTCAAGTGAGGAAAGTTTCAATCTATGTACCTGACGGATGAGTAGTTAGCAAAATCAATTTTGAATAGTGCTATTCGAGTAAAGTTTTTCTGAACATTTTCAATTTTGTTGCTTAGGGACTTAGAAATAGGTAACCAAATTAAAGAAGCATACTCGAGGATCGGGCGAACGTAGTTAATAAAGCATTTCCTATATATACTAATAGTAAACGAATTGCCCTAGCCACACCGTGAAACATGAATATTTCCATCAAAAACCATTGCAATTTCCCCCTTTCATCACTGATATCCATCCACTATTTGCTCAAATGCGATATTTACAAGAGTTTGGTGAATTCTGTGCTTTTCACAATACGCAAAAACCCATTGAATCCATAAAAAGATAGCAAACACACGGGATTCTGTGAAAAATGGCTCAAAAAAAAATTTCCCTCAAACTATGCACCTGAGTTCAAAGCTTTACTGTTGCCAATTTCTGTTTTTTCTAAATTTTCTACAACTTTCTACCTCACTTTTGCCATTCTCTATGCCAAAACATGGAAAAACATGGAAAACGACAATTCTACCGGAAATACAAAAGAAATTAAAAGCGACAAAAGAGGTGGCGAATGGTTGGTTTCAAAGTGAACATTGGAAAGAAGGAAATTGGACGCTAAACTTTGAAAAAGTCTAATTTTGAAACAGTTCAAAGATGGTTTTTTCCAAAGATTTTCCTTTCATTTTGTTGAATTTGATAAAATCTGATCAGTAAAATCTGAATCTGAATAAAATCTGATCAGTAGAATCTGACCAATAGAATCTGATCAGTAGAATCTGACCAATAGAATCTGACCAATAGAATCTGATCAGTAGAATCTGATCAATAGAATCTGATCAATAGAATCTGATCAGTAGAATCTGACCAATAGAATCTGATCAGTAGAATCTGACCAATAGAATCTGATCAGTAGAATCTGATCAGTAGAATCTGATCAATAGAATCTGATCAATAGAATCTGATCAGTAGAATCTGATCAGTAGAATCTGACCAATAGAATCTGATCAGTAGAATCTGATCAGTAGAATCTGATCAGTAGAATCTGATCAGTAGAATCTGATCAGTAGAATCTGATCAATAGAATCTGATCAGTAGAATCTGATCAGTAGAATCTGATCAATAGAATCTGACCAGTAGAATCTGACCAATAGAATCTGATCAATAGAATCTGATCAGTAGAATCTGATCAGTAGAATCTGATCAGTAGTATTCAGAAAGGCTAGCTTTCAAAATTAGCGTCTAATTCCTTTGTAAGATTGCTTTTTGGCGTTTTTGTTTTTGTAATTAGCCTTTTCCTTGAAAGATCGGTTTTTTAAAGTTTAGATTAGAATTTTCAAATTTAACAAGCGCATTTCCTAAAGCAAAACCGGAATTCGTCTAAATTAATCAAAATTCGATGATGCTTTGGAAAAAGATGGTTTCAAAGTTGAGGGTATATATATATAGATACTTTATTCAGGACCTGAGATAAAGTGCGCTAGATTTAAGATTAAAACACATGAATTCATACACATAACACGAAAAGGGCCGATAAAAAGAAACACGATATAATATATGTAAAATGTGGGTAGCACAGATAACGTCAAGGATCCACTAGAGCTTCAAGAAGATCATCTACAGATTACGTCAAGGATCCACTAGAGCTTCAAGATCATCTACAGATAACGTCAAGGATCCACTAGAGCTTCAAGATCATCTACAGATAACGTCAAGGATCCACTAGAGCTTCAAGATCAAGATCATCTACAGATAATTTAAAGCTTTCGAGACTATTGGACTCTCCCAAAACTCTGGGGAGTCGATTCCAAATTCTGGCAGTTCTTATTGGAATTCTTATTGGAAAAGAGTTATAAACAAACTTATTGGAGGTGACTGGAATTTCTAAAACGAAAGAACCTCTCCTTGAACTAACCGTGGGATTAACTTTGAATAAATCTATCTTAAAAACAAAAAGGAATCTAATGAAATTTAAAATAGAATTTTTAACAAAGCAAAACCCCTAGGCTCAAAAAATTCTCTTTATTGACTTTTTTTTCCAATAAAACTGATCTAATCTGGCTTTTTCTAGAAAATTCTAATAAAACGAGTTTTTTTTAATAATCCAAATCCAGATAAGAATGATTTTGATTGAAAATTCCTCAATTTTTCCCCTTGTTGTTGGATTTAGAAACCCTTGAATGCTGGGTGCTGAATACGGTGAAAAAAGATGAAGGAGAAAGGATGAAATGTGAAGAAGAAGCATCGCATTGCTTTCATTTTGAGTGTAAAATGGATGACGGTGGGGATTATGTTTAGATATTGTGCTAAATGGAAATTGTTTTTCAAAAGTCACCTATTTTTAGACAAAAACTACCGTAATCCGCGCTCATTTTTCATTTGTTCAGCTAAATTTGGTTAGCGGATGCCCCTTTTGGTTAGCGGATGTGCCCCGCCCCTTTTGCCATTGGCAATCTAACTGTAAGCTCAAATTTCTTGGTGTTGGGCTGTCTAATTGAAATATTTTTGGTATCATTAGATGCCCCAAGTCTTTCTCTATCGATTGGTATAAAAACTATTTAAATTGAACAGCCCAACACCAAGAAATTTGAGCTCAAAGTTTGATTGCCAATGGCAAAGGGGGGCGCGTATAAAAGGCCGTCGCCCCGCCCACTCTCTCATTGGCAATCAGCTCAAATATCTTGGTGTTCGGCTGTTCAATTTAAATAGTTTTTATACCAATCGATAGAGAAAGACTTGGCGCATCTAATGATATCAAGAAAATTTAAATTAGACAGCCCAACACCAAGAAATTTGAGCTCAAAGTTGGATTGCCAATGGTAAAGGGGCGGGGCAAATATCAAATGTCCCACAATCGCTCAATATTGGTCGAATGAAAAATGGTGGTTGGATTATGGTAGTTTTTCTAAAATTGGTGCCTTTCAGAAGACAAGATTAGATAGATACCGTAAATACTGTAATAGTACCCCACCCCCACTGTAATGAGGTGCGGAGTGCTGCGTAGTCGAGCTTTGGACGCGTTTTTCTCGACACTGGTTTATGCTACAATGCGCGCTTAGGTATCAAAAAATAGCTGAAATTCAGGGCTATTTTTTGATACCAAAGACGCTTTTTTTGAAAGTACGGGTGCTTTGCAAAAAATGAAATACTAAAAAGCTTTTGCGACTACGCGACTGTACGAGGGGGGTACTATTACAGTATTTACGGTAGATATTCTTGCAAGAATGGAAACTAGTCTTGACGCTTTATTAACAGTTAACAAGCGGATTGTTTGTTCAATTTAAAGCTATGGTAATTTTTGATGTAAAAAAAGCTTGAAAAACTGTTTTCAGCTACTTCAATTTACCGTGGCTGTTTCGAGGCGAATCAACCGGATATTTCTTGTGATTTTCTATTAGAGAATTGCGCAAAGAAAGATGGACAAGGGCTTTGTGATATATGTCAAGAGAATCTATGCAATTCGGCACAGAATTTAAGGACTTATTTCCCACTTATTTTATATTTATCAACTGGATATCTTTGTTTTTTTATAAATCATTAGTTGGGTGTTCTATTTGGGTACAATTTTATCAGTAAAGCACACTGGAATTACAAGGCTAATAAGTACTGTGCTTGAGAGCGCTTGAACGCGTGTCACTTCTCGAGTTTAGTTCCAAATCTTATAAATAACATACCAAAATGTTGCTAAGGGTCTAGGGAATTTAAATATATAAATGAATCTTTGAGAGAATGACTGTAAAAGATGTAAAAGAATGATTTTATTGCAATTCTTGTGCTTTTCAAGCTCGAAATCAATTCTAAGCTTCGCATACAAATAGAATTTTATTTATTTAGTTAACTTTTAAAATTTTGTTTTTAAATGTTGCCCTAAATGTTATTTTCTGAAATGATTTGAAATTTGACTCTTAGTTTATATAAAATAGCTTCGATTCAATAGCTTCTTTTCAATAGCTTCTATAAAATAGCTTCTATAAAATAGCTTATATAAAATAGCTTATATAAAATAGCTTACCGTATTCTCTCTAATAGTAGTGCACCCTAAGCGTTGCCTAAATTGCTCGAAGTCTCGAAAAGCGCTTATCAGAACCTATCGATGTGGGGTCGGAAAATGTAGCTGACGATGAGATCTTGTGGGGGATTTGAGTGTTGAGCTTCTGTGAAAACTTTGAAAGCCGTAAAATAGTCACTAACTCGGCTCGCCGGGGGGCACTACTATTAGAGATACGGTATATTAAATAGCTTCTATAAAATAGCTTCTATTAAATAGCTTCTATAAAATAGCTTCTATAAAATAGCTTCTATTAAATAGCTTATATAAAATAGCTTCTATAAAATAGCTTATATAGAATAACGGTACTTGCCGATTATACCCCCAAACATTTGCATACCATATAAACAAGCCAAATTAACATAATTATGTGTAGTTAAAGGTTAAAGATGTTCAAGGAATATTGACCAACTAAATTAGCATCAAACTACTGTTTTATGTGGTTCAAGTTTAGCTACGTCTATTGTAAGTTAGCCTAGAAGTATTCCTTGAACATCTTTAACCCTTGAACCACAGATAATTATGCTAATTTGGCTTGTTTACATGGTATGCAAATGTTTGTGGGGTTATAACTGACAAGTACCGAAATAACTTATATTAAATACCTAAAGTTCCATTACGATAGCTTTTCTTCATTAAATAAGTACTTTTTTGAAACTCACCCTCTCCAAATGGAACATTCGAGACGGCTTTCTCGATGACTTTCTCCATTTCAGCGTTGTTTCGCATCAAATACCAAAGAAACTAAAAAATAGAGAATAACGTACGCTAGAAAGTGTGTGTTTACAAGCGTGCTTTGATCTCTTTGATCACCCACCTGACTGATGAAGTATAGAGGTGGATTCGAGTGCAATTTGATCATCTCATCTTCGAGTTGCTTTGGGAAAGAAAGTGGAAGAGTTTTAGGACGATCCTGAAAAAAGTAAAAATCATCTTCTTAAAAATTTGTACAGCGAATTTGAGATAATAAAACTTGAAAGCAATCATAAATGAGTTACTTTGAAACCTAAAAAATCTCGATTCTTTTCAAGTGATGATGCCTTTCCAAGGCATTCAAATAACCAAATAAAAGAGAAGAGTCATTTTTTCATGTCAAACCAAGGAAACGCTTTGCTTTTGACTTGAATTAGCCAGCCAATGAAGCCGCACTCCAAATTTACTAGTTAAAATGTGCAAAATGCCGTTATTTGAGCCATGTTAGGCCACTAGAGCCACTAGAGCCACTAAAATTTTTCATCATTTTTGAGTCATTTTTTCTAAGCGCTGGTTAAAGCTAAAAATATGTGCTATATCTGAAAAAATCAGCCATTCTCTCTACTTTAATTCGATACAAAAATGCGCAGAAATAAAAGTACTTGTGTTGAGATATGAGTGTTTGTTTGAGAGTCAATTTAGACTACCCGACGCTCCTATAGGGGGCTTCTATTAGAGTATTTACGGCATTTAGCAAACAGTTAAATGTTGGAGAGACAAGATTTAAATGTTAGACTACACGACGCTCCTATAGGACTTCTATTAGAGTATTTACGACGCTCTATTAGAGTATTTACGGTGTACTATGCAAAGCCAAATATTCTAGAGCAAGTCATGGCTTTGAGCTTGATTTTCTTGGTCACCTATGGCTTTTGGTTTTTATTTCATATCTAGATAAGAGCATAAATCATAAATAATTAAATATATTCTATTTTCTTGCATTAACTATATTCGACAGCTAGATTCTTCTCTTTCCGTAACACAGATAACTTTTTTTTTACCTGTAACGCGTCGACGATCGGCAACTCGACAACCCGTCGCTCAGAGTTTTGCCGGTATGACGCCACTCCTTCACCCTGAAACGTCAATTTAATCCTAAATCAAGCCACTCACAATCAAGCCAATTCATTAGCATTCAATTTTGAAAACTTTTAGTTCTTTCCAAATCGGACATTTAAATATGATACGTTTCTAAACTCACATTCACCGCCGCCGCGTGAGTGCACTTGGAAATAGGCAAAAACGCACCCGACCAGCCTCGTTTTGAGTATCTGAAGAATAATTTCTGATATTATTTGAAATTTCAAACAATTCAATTGTTAAACAACTTGTAATGTAAAGCTTTTACATCAGTTTTACATTAGTTGCCGAAAGAGAGGGGACCTTGTGATCACTATGAGCTACGATTCTATTACAGTCCAGAGTCGAAGGCGAGTTGCATTTGAGTTATTAAATCTATTCTGTAGAATAAAGCTTATCAAAGCTTATTACAAAACTGATAGCTTATTACAAAGATGATAGCTTATTACAAAGCCAATAGCGTATAACAAAGCTTATCAAAGCTTATTACAAAGCTGATAGCTTATTACAAAGCCGATAGCTTATAACAAAGCTTATCAAAGCTTATTACAAAGCTGATAGCCTATTACAAAGCCGATAGCTTATAACAAAGCTTATCAAAGCTTATTACAAAGCCTATCAAAGCTTATTACAAAGCTGATAGCTTATAATTGTCATTGAAAAAGCACCATTAAACTAGGTAGCTTTCAAAATTTGCATTTAAAATATTCTTTGAACTTTAAAACAATTCAACAACTTGTAATTTCAAGCTTTTACATCAAGTATGGGAAATAATTTGCCAAAATGAAGTTTCAAAAGAAAAATTGTGGGCTTAAACTTGAAACTTTAATAGAACACGATCCAATTGCCCATTCCCATTTGCACTCAAACCTCCAAACGCATTCTCTCTAGTGCACTTAATTCTTCATTTTTGAAGCAAAGCTTGGTGCCAAAAAAATGAGAAATTGATGGAAGTGCACCAGGATGGGTGGGTTTACAGTTTGAACAGTACACACCAAATAGCAAATGGAAAAACCAATAGAGCCTTCTATCGGATAGAAAATTTCAAAGTCATCTAGATGAAGATGAACCCAATGAGGTTAATCTAGTAATTCATCTTCATCTAGATGAGTATTAGATGCATTGGATACAATACTTTTGGCTCAACTCACCTCCAACTTTTCCCATCGTTTGTCAAAATGAGCGTTCTCCCCTCACCGAAAGCCACTGTGAAACAGTAACCGACGTGATGTAATTGACAACCGAAACCGCATTGTTTGTCGAGATTGCAAACGAGAACTCTGGAAATGAGAAAATAACAATTTTAAGAAAGATTTAGATTAAAAACTATTTTCAAAATAAATGTTTCAAATTTTATAAAAGCTCTTGAGAAACCAGAACCTTTATAGACAAAATTTTAGGGTTTTCTGAGAGAAAAGAGAGGTAGGCTAACCAAAAGTGTGGTTTTTCAAATATTATAGCTTAATATTTTGGAGGTGATTACTTTGCGCCATTTTATTTGCGCAAAAGGGGCATTTGCACAACTGGGTCTTTTGCGCAACTCACCATAACTTTCTTCTAAGTGGGCCAATCTTTATGATTTTGGTCTCATTTTGTAGATCGCAATAAGTGCAACAAAATGACACCAAAATTATACCAAAACAACCAAAACATCATAAAGATTGACCCACTTAGAAGAAAGTTATGGCGTTATGGATTCGGGAGTGGCTACTTTGCGCCAAATTTTTTCCGTAACTGGGTCTTTTGCGCAACTCGCCATATCTTTCTTCTAAGCTGGTCAATCTTTATGATTTTGGTTTCATTTTGTTGCACTTGTTGAGATCTACAAGATGACACCAAAATCATAAAGATTGGCTCACTTAGAAGAAAGTTATGGTGAGTTGCGCAAAAGATTCAGTTGCGCAAATGACCCTTTTTCGCAAAAAATTTGGCGCAAAGTAGCCTATCCCAGAAAAGACAAAGAAGTTGGCTTGTCTTGTGGCTTGACAAAGAAAAGGAAACTTAGTTAACTGATCGTAGATAAAATTTCATTTTATTTCATTTTCTTAGAGTTTAACTCAACTAAAAAAAATTCAACCAGGATTTTTCAAAAATCCTTGTTTCAAAATAAAATAGGTCAGTTGAGAAATCGAAATTTAATTCAAAAGTCATTTCTCTTATTGATGAAATTCTTTATTTTTAAATTTCTTTCGACTTTTGTACTCTATTCAATCTAAATTTTGATATGATTTATTGTATTGAGCTGTACAGCGAGGAAAATCATGTTTTAAATAAAAGATTTCAACAATTATCACCCCCGAATGAGAAAAAGGGCGATTTGTAGCTTTATAGATTATAGCTCCTTTGAAATTAAATTATCTAAAGCCTAAACTTTATTAGGGAAACGTGGCGATCTTTTTTTGACAAGAGATGGCTCAAATTTAACGGCACTAAATGAGAAACTAAAAGATGGACAACGGACTAAATGAGAAACTAAAAGATAATACCACGCGTGACGTAAGTTTCTTATTAAAAATAGTTGTGTTAACGATCAGCGGTAACAAACCTAGCCTTCGCGCAATCATCCGGATTTTGAATCTCGTCGATTTTCTTCTGAATTCTCTCGCTGAGCGCTTCCAATGAAGCTTTTCTCCAATCGGCTTGCGTATCGGAGATGTTTGATGAATAGGCCAAGAGATGGATTAGCTGAATAGTTTGCATTGATTTTTTGGTTTAGCTTCAGTATACTTCAGTGTACTTCAGTGTACTTCTTAGTTTCCAATTTTTTTTCAGTAATTCTTAGTTCCCAAAAGCAATGTTTCAACTTTCGGAGATTAGGGGGAGGAAATTGGAAATTAATTGAGATATTTGGCTTGCGAGATTCGGAATCGAATCGGAATCGAATCGAATTGGGACGGAATCAGAACCGAATTGGAACCGGAACCGGATCGGAATCGAATCGAAATCGAATTTGGAATCGAATTGGAACTGAATCGGAGTCGAATCGGAATCGGAATTGGAATCGAATTGGAACCGGAACCGGATCGGAATCGAATTGGAACGGAATCAGAATCGAATTGGAACCGAATCGGAATCGAATTGGAACGGAATCAGAACCGAATTGGAACCGAATCGAATTGGAACCGGAACCGGATCGGAATCGAATCGAAATCGAATTGGAATCGAATTGGAACCGGAACCGGATCGGAATCGAATCGAAATCGAATCGGAATCGAATCGAAATCGAATTGGAATCGAATTGGAACCGGAACCGGATCGGAATCGAATCGAAATCGAATCGGAATCGAATCGAAATCGAATTGGAATCGAATTGGAACCGGAACCGGATCGGAATCGAATCGAAATCGAATCGGAATCGAATCGAAACCGAATTGGAATCGAATTGGAACCGGAACCGGATCGGAATCGAATCGAAATCGAATTGGAATTGAATTGGAACCGAATCGGAATCGATGAGAAATTTCATCGATCGAAGGTATCTCATTATTTCAACTCAACTTGTTTTTTCTTTTTTCATTTTTCTTTAAAAAACTAAAAACATTGCTCTTCATTCGTTGATTATTCACCTGATCAATTGTGTGATTTTTGTAGCTGGGCTCTTTGTCGCTTTTCTTGAATTCGCTTCGTAGATAGTAGAAAATCTCCCAGATTCGCTGATCGAGACCACGGCGGAGCTGGAATATGCAAATTTTTGAGGGATTAGTGGTTTGCTGGTCGCTCATCACGGTTTACACTTTCCCACAGTTGAAACATTTGATTTTTGAGCGAAAAAAATAATTTTTTTCTTGAAACTTAGAAATAAACTGAATAGATTTGCTGATTTTTTAAGAAATTTTTCAAATGTTTCAAATTTTTAAAGCTTTTTTCTTGCGTGGTTACCTCTTCTCCGACTCTGGACGGTCCCGAGGCTGCTCCTTGCTCGCTCAATGGTTTTGGCGCGACTTCTTGCAATTTCACTGGCTAAATTGGCTAAAATTTCAAAAAAAATCTTCAAATTTTCGTTGCAACTATTTAAAAGCTAGTCTTACTGTTTTACTTTGTGTTTTTAATCTTTAACTATGTTCAATGCTTTAGATTTTAACACATTAGCGATGATACGGCTCGTATATAGATTTAGCACTTTTTTGTGAGGCTAATTGAGCTGAGCTTTTCACCAAACGGTTTTCGGGGTCAAGAAATTTGAATCCGTTATTAGTTTTTAAATAAAACCGCTCTTTTTTTGGATATTTCATTCGGTGTAAATACCCAAGTGTGACTCCAAATCTAGAACCAGAAAAATTTTCATGTTTACGTAATCGTGCGGCTTCTGACACACGAATTTTAGGGATATAAGGCAAAACTGTTCCTGTTCCGCTCTTTTTTTCCCCAATTTCGTTTAATTACCCAAGTTTTGAAAGTTTTATGATGACCATACAAGAAATTGACTTCACTCTCTCAATCCCTCACCTCTTCGCGATTTTCCCGTATCCGATTCAATTTCTCGACTTTCTCCGTCTCTTTTAGTCGCCTTTTATCCAGCCCATCACGATCTTTTCGCTCTTGTTCTGAAATTTTTCAAATATTGGATTGGTGAATTGAAAACTGCCGGCTATTGTGATATGTGACAGTTTGAGCACTTTCTTCAAAAAAAACCCATTTTGGTGTCAATGGAAAAGTTGTAGAGAATCAAAAATCAAGCTTATATCCAAATTTTCAGAACGATTCAAAAACTGGTTTTCAAGAAATGCCAAATTTACGAATTTTCACAAAACTTGCAACAAAACTTGCATTTTAAGCGAAACTACTAAGTGTATCTTTTTGCAAATTTGGCTATAAGCCTAATTTTTGATTCTCTACAACTTTTCCATTGACACCAAAATGGGTTTCTTTTGAAGAAAGTGCTCAAACTGCTCAAACTGGGACATCTCTAAGTGTATCTTTTTGCAAATTTGGCTATAAGCCTAATTTTTGATTCTATACTATTTTGATTCTCTAGATTTTTTTTATAGAACTAAACTCACGTATCATCTCCTGTAGTCGATCATTTTGCTTTTTCAACTCTCGAATATTCGACAACGCCTCGTCCAAACGGGAAGTCACCCCGGAGGCATCTGCATAGGAATCTAGAAAATTGGTTTCAGTTGGTTTCAGTTGGACGGAGTGGAATGATTAGAATAATCATTAGAAAGAGGCCTTGAGTCGAATCGCCGATTCGATTCGACTTTAAAATTTGAATCAATTCGATTCGAAGGTGTTGAAAATTCGAATTGATTCGAAAATTTCAAAAAGTCGAATCAATTCGATTCAATTCAACCAAAAACGATTCGATGCCGATGTCTAACAATCACGGAGATCTTTTGTGGACTTATTTAAATAAATAGCTTCTCTAATTAAGCTAAAAACTTCAATGCTTTGTTTATGCTATGAATCGAAAAAGGTGAGTTTCAAATTAGATGAAGCCTTTAGTGGAATGATTAAATTAATCATGAGCTGGTATTTTCTCCTTATTTAAAAGCTGTGACTGAGCTTATAATTCGAAATCTGGAAAGGATTAGCGATTAGCGTCTTGTCTTGATTAGCAGTCTTGATTAGCGTTTTAAAGTAGTGTCTACAAGAGTTGTACAAGAGTTGTACAAGAGTTCGATTCCGGTTACGGAAGACAGAATATTTAAGTGGAGAAACTCACCGGCTTTCCCCTGCAATGAGAAGAGACTTTGTGATAGATAGAGTAGCACGATCACCCAGATGATTAACGCCACAACGGCCGCTGATTTCACCGACCACATTTGGGGAGAAGTTGAAGGGGAATTGGCTTTTCTAGATTCGCTTCTAGAAATTCTCTTCTAGAAATTCTCTTCTTCTTGGGGGTCCCCTCGTTGTACCCCCACACGTCAGCCGGGCAGGCCCTGAAATAGCTAACTTTTGAGAGGTATCAAAGAGAATAAAGAAATGAATAACTGTAAAGAAATGTCGCTGTAAATTGAGCAGTTTTCTAAGCCATATCCCTTTCTCTTTCTACTGTAATCTTGTCTATTTTTTTCGAATCTATCCACTTTTTTCTGTTCTAGAGATAGAGATGATTTTTTTAGATAAAAAAAAGTCGTTTAAGATAGACTTAACAGGTTGAAAACTGAAAATTGTCTATTTTGGATGTACTGTGTCCATTAGTCTTGGAGTACAGGGTCACCAAGAATAGGTGACCAAGAATTAGTACAGGGTCACCAAGAATTACCGCAACAACGCCGTATTATTTTATGAGCCCCATTTCACTTTTTGCTTAGTGCAAGAGTTTTGTTCAAAGACCTTCCCGGACTAGATCTCGTTTTCTGAGTCTGAGCCACCCAGCTCACCCGATCTTAACCCATTGGATTACTCATTACTCATTGGATTACTGGAGTGTTCTTGAAGCTAGGGCATGTGCAAAACCACATAAAAATATCGAAAGTTTGAAGAAGGCGCTGATCAAAGCATGGGATACCCTCAACGATGCCTATTTGCTCGCCACGGTCAACGCGTTTCCCAACCCTTTGCAGGCCTATCTGAATGCCGATGGAGGCAAATTTGAATTTAATTGTTAATTTGTTACTGTTATATGTTGAATAAAGATATTTAAGTTAACTTTTCGAGATGGGTTGCATATTTGGTTAAAAGCCAGGCCTTTTGTGTGTAGCGGTAATTCTTGGTCACCCTGTAGAATACAAAAAGAAATCAAAACTTGTGTGGGCTAAATAAATCCAGAAAGAAATCTATTTTAATTGACATTAAAAGATTTTACAAAAACTGATTATTAAAAATCTTGTTTAATTGGTGACAAGTTGAAATTTAAAATTTTGAAATTGAAACTAAATTTTCCCGAATTTCCGTTTTGTACATCGAGGTAAGCCTCGATGTACAAAGTCTTCCATAAAGTCTTTTCTATGCAATAGAAATGCAATAGTCTTTTCTATGCAATAGTCTGCATTGCAATGCAATAGTCCCAGAGACGAAGAGGAACTGGCGCATGTAGTTCATCGTAAATGATCAACGAGACAAAATAACTGCGCAATTGAACTGGCATGTGTAGAGCAGCAGATTCAAAAAGTGATTGAGTGCAAAAAGTGTCATCTTTTAAGTAACCGGCAGTAACCGGCAGCTTTGAAGTAACCGGCAATAGACAAAATCAACAAAAATTTAACATTTCATCTGAATAAATGGAGGTTTTTGATTTGAAATTCAATTTGAATTCTATTTTAGATCAATTTTAGATCAATTTTATCAATTTTATATAGAATTTGAATCGTAAATCATTTGAATTGAGTTTCAATTTTGCCTAAAAATAGCTAGAAACCAATTCTCAACCATGTAATTTACTCCAAAGTAGACAATTTCCAAGAAAATCTTTTCAATGATTCAAAAAAAGTTAATTATTATCTTTCTATTCAATTAAGAAATAGAATAAATGCCAAAAAATGAATCGAAATGAGACAAAAAATTTGAAAAGACTTCTCGGGAAGAAGATTATGGCTTTAATATTGTAGAGTTTCTTTTTAATAACAATTCAAATGAAATTTAAAAAGTTATTAACTTTTTACAGATGAAACAATTTAATGAAGACAAGATTAGAGCCACCCACAGCTGTTGGATCCGGAAATCCTATTGGAATTGGGGTTTAGCACGTTTAGAGAAATTCCTTTTTGAGAAATTCCTGTTTCAAGACAGGCAAGTAGCTTGTCCTGGCTTGTCCTGGCTTGACTTTACTGCGCGTCTGTCCAAAGGAACAAGTCAAGAAGGTTAGGCTCTCACAAACAAGTCAAGCTCTCACATCACACCCAGCCTCAAGCTTTTGAAGTTGCCTAGTCCATCCCACCCAGCTTGAAGCTCTTGAAGTTGCCTAGTCCATCCCACCCAGCTTGAAGCTCTTGAAGTTGCCTAGTCCATCCCACCCAGCTTGAAGCTCTTGAAGTTGCCTAGTCCATCCCACCCAGCTTGAAGCTCTTGAAGTTGCCTAGTCCATCCCACCCAGCCTGAAGCTTTTGAAGTTGCCTAGTCTTTCCCGATCTAGTTCTGGGTCCAAGTCCACCAAAATATTAGATTGGCAACTTGAAAGTTGGTACAATTTTTCCAAAAAACATATTCCCAATTGAATTAGACTTCTCTAAATAAAAGTCATTAATTACTTAATTTCAGACATGCTTAAGCAACCTTTAAAACAAATTTGATGCAAAAAAAAATAACAAGCCTAGAAACAGCTCAGATTTCTTTTTAGTCAACGGAAAGTTTCAAGATTAATTGCAAGATTCCAAAAAGTCTTTTAAAGTCTAAAGTATTACTTTTAAAGTCTAAAGTATTACTTTTAAAGTCTAAAGTATTACTTTTAAAGTCTAAAGTATTACTTTCATAACTTTTAGAAAAAAAGATTGAAAGAGAAAGAGAATGAAATCGAATAAATGAAACTTTCTCAATTTCACTTATTTCCAACATAATCCGGGTTCAATTTTCCGTTTTTCGTTTAAATTTTCTTCAAAAAATGTAAACCAGACTTTTCTGGCTTCTTTCTCGGAGGCGAGGCGGATTTTTTTTTGTTTAATTTCGTGATTTAAGAAAATTAATCAAGAGATTTCCTCAAATCCTCAAGAATTTCAAAGTATTCAATAGAAGATTTGTGTTTTTTGAAAGTACAAAAAGAAAATGAAGCCTGAAATTGGGAGTTTAAACCCTTTTCTACGCTCACAGAGACGCAAAAAGGGGGAAAATATTTCTTGATTTCATTTGATTTGAAAAGTACGGTAATTGTAGAATAGAATAGAAAATATAGAATGTTTTTTTTTTAAAAAACATGTCTAACTCTAACTCTAACATCTCTAACACTTGTATTTTTGTGGAGAAATTCTTTCAACGGTTCGATTGATGGATTTCGATTGATTGATTGGGTTCAAGCGTTCGATTGATTGGGTTTTTTAAGTTTTTATGTTGATAAGACAGCTGTGGAAAGATCAATTAGATGGATGACTTCATCTAAGAAAAAAAAATGGAGGCAGCCCAATAGGAAAAGCTGAGTTTCAAATTGTTCAGCTAAGTGCGGGGATTCTGTTGGGGAAAATGGGTAGACAACTTATGCGCATAGCAGCCTCAAGCTTTTGAAGTTGCCTAGTCTATCCCACCCAGCTTGAAGCTTTTGAAGGTGCCTAGTCCGTCCCACCCAGCTTGAAGCTCTTGAAGTTGCCTAGTCCATCCCACCCAGCCTCAAGCTCTTGAAGTTGCCTAGTCGATTCCACCCAGCCTCAGGCTTTTGAAGTTGCCTAGTCTTTCCCGATCTTTGTGGAGAAATTCTTTCAACGGTTCGATTGATGGATTGATTGGGTTCAAGCGTTCGATTGATTGGGTTTTTTAAGTTTTTATGTTGATAAGACAACTGTGGAAAGATCGATTAGATGGATGAATTCATCTAAGAAAAAAAATGGATGATTGGAACTAGAGCAGATCAAAAACTCGTCCGCCACCGGGACTCGAACCCGCCACCTTTCTCTTACCGGGCAAATATGCTAACTGTTACACCACAACGCACCTGATCCCCTTACTCCAGAGGGAGTTAACTTTCCTCTCTAATTAACCCCCACTGGAGTAAGGGTGATCAGGTGCAATGTGGTGTAATGGTTAGCACGGTTGCCCGGTCGCGGGTTCGAGTCCCAGCCTGACAAAATTTTTTGATCGGTTCTAGGACTGCCAAACCTATAGCAATTTGATTGGATTCGCTGAAATTTTGAGCGAATTCAGTAAGAAATCAGTAAAACTAAACTCGATTTAACGATTCCAAAAGGAGAATCGTTAAATCGAGACACATAGTCAAAGGATCTTAGCTGAAAACGTTAAATCGAGGTTTAGTTCTCATTATCTCAATAAATAGCGTTCAATCGAGTGTAATGGTTAGCACAGTTGCCCGGTAAGCGAAAGCTCGCGGGTTCGAGTCCCGGTGGCGCACGAGTTTTTGATCTGCCCTAGTTGCTGGATAACAAAAGAAAAGTTTCAATTTTAGCGAATGTCATTGAAAAATCAAAGCTCTAATTATGTTCTTATAGCTGGTAGATTGGTGAATGAAAGATGAAGATAGAAATGCAGCTTTCAAGTTAAAATGAAGCTTTCAAAGTTTCAATTACTCAAAAATCAAAGCTCTAATCTGGTCAATGATTTTTGAAGAAAAAAATGAGATTTTAAAATAAAGTACTAAATAAAAGAAGCAAAGTATGCTGCTTTTATTTATCTAATTTAATTTAAAACAAAAATATCAGAGTTTTTCAAATAAACAAGTTTGAAATATTAAAAAGAATAGCTCTATACTGATCGAGGCTAAAGTAAAAACGCGTTTGGCTCAGCTGGGCCAAAGAGCTTTTTATGCTCATCGAACATGGGCATTTAGCGTGAGTATTTGGTGAGTTATATAGAAATAGAAGAAAAAGAAAAGGGGAAATTTGAGGGGAAAAGATATAGAGAAGCATGAGGCCCGGAGGGGCTTAGGGAAAAAGAAAAATGAAGTGAGTATAGGATTTGAAAAGAGAAAAAAAGCGGAACGGGAGACCCAGATGGGGACGGGGAGCGGCGGAGTGAGGGAATGAGAAGGGAGTGGACAAGGGAAAGGGGGCCAACCCCGTCACTCACATTGATTCTCACTTCGATACCCACACACCCATTCCTCTTTCTTCTTGCTTGCATAGAAAAACCAAATGTGCTTTTCTATAGTATTTTTAGGCTTTAGATTTCCCGGTGACAGTCAGAAAATCAGAAAATCAGAAAGACAATGTTGTTTAAGCAA